TATTTAAATTTTAAATTTAATATATATTAAAAATCTACTATCTTAAATTACTTATTTAAATTATTATAGATTTTACTTTTAAATCCTTTTCTTAATAGCTTTTCTTTTCGATTTAATAAGGCTGGTTGTGCAGATAAGGTATGTTCCTAAACGCACAACCGGTTATGCGGGTATGAGTGCCCTTTAACAAGGCACCCATGACTAACGTTGTACTGTATGTAGTGCGACCGTCGCCAGCCATGTTCTCATTGTATGAAACGAGGCAAACAAGTAAGCGTTTTGGTCTCCCAACGGACATATCATTTGCTGAGAAAGCATAGGACGTCTGCCTATATGATTTAGATGCCAATCGCGCACCCTCTGCCTTGCTTCCTGTCGAGCTCCAAGACCAACCCATGAACGGCGCCTTGCAAGCATGCCAAGAGCCAATTCCATCCGCCTTGGACGTTGTGGCCGATGAATTCAAACCATTGGGTTATGGCGACAATACAAAGGGAACACCAGGAGTCCTGCGTAGTCTGGGGGAGCCTGCAAGCCTTTTGCATCAACTCCCCGCAAGAGACTGTACTGCCACCACTGAATACGTGAGCATCGTCCGACAACTTCCATCTCCAAGACACATAGAAATTCTCGTGCAAGACTTCTACAAAAATGTAGCATGGCACTACGATATCGTCGACCAAACTACCCTTTTCAATCAGCTTGCTCAATGGCGCTGCCTGACCCATGATCAATTCAAGCGAGGACCGGACGCCTTACCAGCATCCCTACGATCTTTCCCTGCTCTACTCTTCCAGGTTCTAGCACAAGCTCTGCTTTTGCAGCCCGCACAACACAATGAGAGCCTGAATGACCTCAAGTATGCCTTCGATATGGAGTTATCAGATCTGGCGGCGGAATACAGTGATGCGGGTCGTTGACTCGCTTTATGCTTCAGAAAGAGCGAGGCCACTCTCACGGGAGTACAGGCCGAGCTGATGCGAGCCTGTTTTGAAAAGACCACGGGAGCAGTGATCGAGGCATGGCACACGCTCGGAACTGCTATTCGCGACGCTCAAGAACTCGGTCTACATCTGATAGAACCAGAGCCAACGACATACCCGAGAACTCAAGAGTCATCGGATCGCGAATTGGGCCGCAACGTCTGGCTTGTCCTCCACCTATGGGATGCTCATATGGGTATTGTGCTTGGAAGACCCCTGTCGACAAGAATGAGTCCCAACAATGTGGCCTTGCCAATGTCTTCAAGGGACAGCTCTGGCAAGCAAAGGCCACCGCAACCTCGCGACGTCATCTTGTGCGGCTATCATACGGCGTACAAATTCTTACAGGACATTCATGATCTCGACAAAGTAGATGACTGGCGTGTCCCAGTTGAGAAAATCCACGAAACTATTCTTACCAAAATTGCGAACCTTCCCGCGTGGGCGACAGCCCAGAGATCACGTCAGGGAGAGCCTCCTTGGCTTTCTGCGGCCTTGGAAACAATGATGACCAATGTGCACTTTGTCGTCTTTTCTCTGCATCGACCCTTTATCTTTGCAGAGCCGAGCAACCGCCACGAGGCCTTTGACGCAGCGATACAGATCTTGGAGTCTCAAGGTCGTCTATTCGATCAGACAGAACCTTTACAGTATAAAGCGTTTAGTTTGGTGTTCGCGACGTTTGATGCCATGGTGCTAGTTGCAGCGGTGCATATTCGCTTTCCGAATGAGCAACGGGGACAGTTTGCAGTTACCAAGAGGAATCTCGAGTTGGGAATCGGAAGACTGAAGTGCTTGCAGGCCAGGAACAATGCCCTTGCCAGTTCCGCACTGAGCATTATCGAACGGCTGTATCGAAAAGTGCTCGCTGTTGTGCATCCGGAGGAACCCTCCCAGGGAAATACTGATCCTATAAGTGTTAATATGATGGGGCCAGAGTCAGTGGAAATGAACTGGGATGCCATTCTACAACCTGGCCTTGGAGATGTGTTGGCTCCTCAACCAATGAACGAACTATTGCGCATCGGGGATCTGGCTCAGTCCCTGAGTACAAGTCCTTCATATCAAACAGCGTATGGGCAACACCAGTTCGGGGTAGACATCATTGACCCTTTTGGAAGTGATCTGATGTCTTATCACGGCACAGTCGAAACACCATATCGCGCCAAGTAGCCTCGCCTCAGGTTTCGAAACATAATATTTGAGGCTAATACTATTGAATGATACAATTTGAAATGCGCCACTGTGGTGATTTCACCTATCACGCTCAAAACTCCCGCCCATATGAGAATATGCAGTATATTATCCTCTGAGGCTTGGCTTTCTTTTATCATTCGATTTCTCACATTATTTGAGTGAACCTATTGCTTCTATAGGCGGCAGCCATCGACGTCATACAAAGGGCTAGGGCGCTTTGATAGTATGAATAAATCTCGAAGGGCTCCTCGACGGCTCTAAGAAGTGCAAATTATAGGGACTCACAAACATACCATCGGCTTTCGGTAATATATATCGGGGATTATGGACTGATAGACTGATTGACTGCTAACTCCGAAGTTCGAGATGGGTTAAGGACAAGATTCTCTGCGCCTCCTAATCAGGAAGAAAGGCTAATTCGCTAGTGTAGAACCTTAAGAATCTGTCCACTCTGTTGACACTGAATTAGCTCGAGCCTGACATTTCGGATATGTATTCTGGTGACGCAATAAGTCCGGACGATCGGCACAAGAAGATGCAGAACTCGAACATGTCAAGTAGACATGTTGATCTTCCCTGATCTACGCCCGAGTCTGTGACAAGATTGTCCATCGGCAAGTTGACTATTACAACGTCGTCGTCGAACGTGGCTCCGAAAATAGTGGAACTATCCCCGAAACATGGACATGACCAAGCAGCGCAGACCACAAAGCTGAAAGAATGAACTTGTTGTTGAAATACAGGCGCTTGACCCAGAAGACTGAGTATACAAGTATTCTAATTCTCACCACCTTAGATACAGAAGCTTCAATCTACTATCCCATCAACATCAACTCAATCACCAGTCTATCAACACTTGATCCTACTTTATTTTCACGTCATACAATGGGTTTCCACGGTCGTTACACTGTAGAGAAGGTGACATATCCATCTCACGGAGAAACCATCAATGGCATCCTGTATCTGCCCAAAGACGTGGCCAACCCGCCTGGTGTCGTCGTTCTCGGCCCATACTCGTTCGTCAAAGAACAAGTTCCACTGCAATATGCCACGCGACTTGCCGACGAAGGCTACGCCGCTCTAATCTTCGACCCGCGCACGGTCGGGGAGAGCACCGGTCAGCCACGGCGTCTAGAAAACCCAAAGATGAAGGGAATAAGGTTGTCGGTAGTTGAAAGAGGCTTTAGCCCCCAGCGCACAAAGGTAAAGAATACCAATAAACACATACAGGTAAGATACTTATTGCCCTTACTGTTGCCTAGGATCTTAGTTTTGGCTGAAAAGTTAGTATCCTGATAACTGACTCCAGAGGTGTATAAATAAGTGGCTGCTGCTCCTCCGTAAGGATGATCAGGCTCAAACCAAAGATGAAGAACGAGGACGTCGTCTCTGGTCTTGACTACCTTGCCGGCAGAGGCGACGTGGATCCCAAGAAATTGTTCCTCGTCGGTGTCTGCCAAGGCGGTCCCGAGTGTCTAGACGTAGCGTCATACGACGATCGAGTCGTCGCTGTCGCCTCCGTGACGGGGTACTATCGCGATCATGAGACGGACGTCTGGATGATTTGCACTGGCTGCGTAAACATCGAGCCGGGAGTCGACGTTGGATCGCTGAAATTGCCTACGCCCGAGCAGGGAGAAGCGCTGTATCAGGCACGCATCGAGCGAGCTAGAAAGGCCAAAGAGCTATACGACACAACAGGCGAAGTCACCTACAATTAGACCCCAAAGCCGCAGACCCAGATGTCGGTTCCCTCGCTGGCCTTCCGGGACCCGTCGCTTGGTCTTGGTACGGTCCGTGGACCCTGAAGGGGTTTGAGAACCGATATGCCGTTATGAGTGATTTGGATCACTTTGGATATTCAACTGTATCTGGAGTGGCCAAGCTTACGAAGCCCGCTCTGGTTATTCATGGGGACAATTGCATGAACGCGCCCACTGCCAAGAGGCATTTTGATTCGATCCCGACTAAGAACAAGAAGTTGATTTGGGATAATAGTGTGTCGCATTTCCAGCATTACGAGCAGCCGGATGTTGTAGACACTAACGTTGGTGAGATTGCGGCTTGGTTTGGGCAGGTCGGGATGTAAAACGAAGAGGAAGCAAACGGGGACAGATAATTCAGCACAATTCTGCCAGTATTCATCAGTTCAAAGCTACAGATAGATAAGCCAATAGTCTGCAGCGCATAAGTAACATAGTATATGTACACGAGTTATGTATGCCCCATTCTAGCAAACATGTTCAATCTAGTATAAGCCTTAGCCTACAATCAGCGTATCTCAGTAATAATGCGTAAATTCAAGCAAGTAATCAGAGGATCCGGATATAGCTTAAATGGACTTTTTATTGAGCCTATCTTTACCTGTGAGTGGAAACGTAAGCGAAGCTGGCCTCGATACAATACTTTTGCCTCCTATTGTAGTTGAAAGGATACAAATTAGATAAAAAATATGTTTGTGTTGAAAGCCTAACTTAATCTACTTAGCGTCTCACACGGGGTAGTACCAGACGTCCATGAGACAATATAATATTCTCGCCTTCAAATCTTTCTGCAACCCTATCGCCCCCCTCGTGCCGCATTGGGGGAATCGTGTTTGGCGTATTAACCGACCCTATCTCAAGTGAAAGCGTTTCGCCTTTGTCAAAGAGATATGCTGTTGGATAGATAGGCACAATAACCCTGTATCTCTGATCTGGAACGACGTCAGACTTGGGAGTGGGAGGCTGGGAAATAACGCGCTCCTTATCAAAATCTTTGGCCACTTCATCTCGGTGTGACAGGCGAAAATAGCCTCGCGCGAAGTTATCCATAGGCTCACCATGGTTTCCCTTTAATACCACCGTTTTTTCGTTCTCATCAATTACACGGAGATAGATAAAGAGATCCAGGTCCTCAGCACTAGTGCTGACTTCAAGCTCAAGGAAAGGAGATCCAAGTATTTCGAAAGACTCGGTAAATGGAGAATCAAGTGTGAAAGTCATGTTTTCGCCGTGGCCCTGGTAGGACAATTTTTGCTTTTGTCCTGCCGGGTGATTCAGAGAGAGTTGCTTTTCGGGAGTGAGATGAAAGGAGACATCTTCTGCATCGGAGGGTGGGAAGGAAGTCTTGTCTTCTCGGTACAGTGTCTTGGTGCCATGGTGCTGAAGTAGCCGGATCCGAGGCACGTCCAGCATTCCGTTATCCTTTTTGTCGAAAAGGAAGTAGTCCAAGAACTCCCTCTACATGGCAATATGGTCTGGCTCATAAAATGCGCCTAGATGGTTTCCAGTATGCATTTCAAGCCACTTTGCCTTTGAAGAAACGCCATTGGAAGGCGCGAATGTTGCCAGGAAGATGGACTTCTGGATCTGTCCAGTTGCCTGCCACATAGATAGGCACTTCGATTTTGGAGAGCGACCTAATCTTTTCCAAAAAGCCAACGCATCCTTGATCAGGGTACTCGTTTGTTGCCAGGAGAGCGGGGTAGTCTACTCGATGGGCCTCAAGCTCCTCTTTGGTTCGTGACCCATCTCGTGCTCCTCGTTGCTGGGTTATGACGATGTTGTTGTACCAATGGGACTGAAAGTTGTGGCTGTAGACCCCCCCACGACGACCAGCCTGATAGAGACTACAGGCCGACTCATATGACATGACGCATGTCAATTGTGGTGGTTTCTGCATGGCAGCCCAGTAGCCTACCATGCCATAGTCGCTGATTCCGGAGAAAGCTAAGGAAGTGCCGCTCGTGTAAGAAGAAGAGTCCCTCGTCCATTAAGAGTAACCATGCGACCCCAATCTTTCAGAACTTGCTCGGTAGCCGGTTCGTCAATCCGGGTTGGGTAGGATATGCCTGCATTGTTGACAAGAATGTCGAGTCTGCTAAACTCCCTGATTGTGGCATCGATGAGCATGCGGGGTCCGTCAAGAGTGGACAGATAGTCGAAAGCACATCCTCGGCCGCCTTTTTCTGTTCCGACCAGGGGTAGTTGATGACAACTGATGCCCCTCTCTGAGACAACTCTCGGGCTATAGCAGCTCCGATGCCTGAGGAAGCGCCGCTCACCACGGCAATCTTTCCGGCGAGGGTCAGTTGTGGATTTCTGACCATAATGAATCTATGGAAAAAGGACTGGGAATGCTGGGTTGAGACTGTTGTTCATGACCTTGAGGTGCATGTGAAGTGTTGTATATAACATTCATAGCCAGGCTCGCCGCTGAGAGTCGTCGAGTGGCGTCACTTCTTTGAGCCATCATCCGAGGACTTTCTCCGCACTTGGGCTTGTGCGGGAGTCGGCATGCCGATTCAGCGTAGGTGTAAGCACGATACAAACAATGTATGAGATGTAGAAGGGCGGGGTACGCAAGTTCCTTAATAGGGCTTCGGGACAGGGTGTATCCGAGCTTTGTAATCAGCTTTGGGCCTAAGAACACGCCCGTAGACCAGACAAACCCAGATGCGACTACATTCTGATGAATCGGGAGCGTTCAGTGCCGAAGGTACGCAACGACATTCGGGGGAACGCCGTGGCTTTTCCTGAACTCTCGCCGCGCTGTTTCCGCGTTGCTTGACAAGAAGGCAGCAATTTAGTCTTCCCGCCAGAACCTGCCTATGGCCGGTGAAGTTATTTCAGGTAACAAGCGTCTTCTGCTAATGCCATACGGGCCAGAGTGTCGTAAGCAAAGGAAAGCAATGCATCAGATCCTCAACAATACAAAGTCGACCGTTTTTCAGCCATTCCAAGATTTAGAGTCCCGGGCTCTCCTCTATCACTACATGAAAAAGCCTGATCGCTGGTGGGAGGCAAATGCCCGCTTCGCAAACTCCATCATTATGAGTGTCACGTATGGAAAACGCTCAGACTTGGGCGATCCTGATTTATCCAAACTTGCCCAACAATGAAGAGCGGTTTGTCCCCTACTTGATGCCCGGCCAAGCTTTGGTAGACATCTTTCTAGGACTCTTGAAGTTGCCTATTCCCTCGTTGTGGCAGCCCTGGCGCTGGTAGGGGGATGCTCTTCATCAAGCGACCAAAAGGTATGTCATCCAAAGATACAGGTTCAGAAGATCCCAAGTGTATATTACTCACAGATTGATTGCCTTAGGGGACATAAGAAGGTGTTTGACGACTTTTTGGAGAGGCGGAAGCTTGGAACTCAGAGGCCTTGCTTTATGACCGAGTTACTGGACATGAACACTGATGGCGAGTTCAGCACGGAAGATTGCTATTTTATAGGAGGGACCCTCATCGAGGCTGGATCTGACACCACTCGAGTTACCTTGATGGAGATTCTTGCAGCCGCAGTATTGTATCCAGATTGGGTCGAGAGGGCTCTGCAGCAACTCGACTCGGTGTGCGGATCCAATGCTGAACGCATCCCGAACTTTGGCGACATGCCTAAGTTGCCACTAATCAAGGCGATAGTTAAGGAAAGCATGCGATGGAAGTAAGCTCATCTCATCACCCCAATTGCACGATGGATGGAGACTTACAAGACTGTGACGACGTCAGGCCGGCGATTGCTGAGACGGGCATTCCTCATTCACTCATCAAAGACGACACTTTCGATGGTTACAAGATTGCCGCAGGGAACAGTTGTTACCATCAACCACTGGGCGATTTCTCATTTAGACCATGGAGAACCTGAACGGTTCTATCCAGAAAGATTCCTCGACGAGGATCTGGATGTGCCCACGAAAGGGCATCTGGGCTTCGGCGCTGGCAAGCCCCACTCTCTTGCTGTCTTCTGCTGCGCATGAGAATACTAACTGCTCTATAGGCCGGAGAGTGTGTGTGGGCAACACAGTGGCTTGGAACAGCATGTTCATTGCGGTAAGCAGGCTGCTCTACTGCTTCACCGTGACGGGTGTTCCGGGCGAGATAATAGATGTGTCTGCAAGCTTTGACGTTAGGTACGAAAAGGCTCCTTTTGGAGTCAACATTAAACCTAGATCGGAAGGGCACCGCGAGCTCATAGAACGTGAATGTTCTAATGCGGCTAAGATGCTTTATATTTAAAACCTTTATAGCTCAATAAAGCTTTATTTAACTAAAAACCTAGTCCTAAATATAACCAAATTTCCAATAGATAAGCTTTTCTGCCTAGCATTACTAGCCCGTTTAACCTTTTTTTCTTATAACTCTTTAACTAGTATAGTTATCTTACTAATTAACTTATCTTTACATTAGATTTTTATAATTTACTTTTTCCTAAAAAAGCAATATATAGTATATCCAGGCCAGGTATACCTTTATAATCCTAATTATCTTATTAATATTATTTAGTAATTTCTTTCTCTTTTTGTATATAAGGTCCTTTTAAGGATTAAGATAAAGTTATATATATATATAGGCACTATAGCTAAAGTAAATAAAATCTATAAGGACTATATCTTTTATACTATTTACTTTAATAACCTTATAAAGGCTTATAAAGTTATAATTCTTACTAAGCTTTTTATATACTATTAAGGCTTAAATAAAATAGCTAATAAATTTACTATAAGTAGTAGGATATACTATAGTAACTAATAAGGTAAAAGAGAAGGTATTAGGTAAATAAAAGGTTATAATTACTAATAATAAGGCATAGGGTAGGATTTATAAGATAAGAGTAGGTTTATTAAATAGAGCGAATTTTTCTAAATTTAATAATAT